GCCCCATCCTCCTCACTGCCTCCCTTGAGGTACTTCTAGACACTGCTCAGGTCCCCTCTCAGCCTTCTCTTCTCCCGGCTGAACAGGCCCAGCTCCCTCAGCCTCTCCTCATAGGGCAGATGTTCCAGGCCCCTGATCATCCTTGTAGCCCTGCGCTGGACTCTCTCCAGCAGCTCCACATCCCTCTTGTACTGTGGAGCCCAGAACTGGACACAGTACTCCAGATGCGGCCTCACCAGGGCTGAGTAGAGGGGCAGGATCACCTCCCTCAACCTGCTGGAGACGCTTTTGTTAATGCACCCCAGGATGCCATTTGCCTTCTTGACCACGAGGGCACACTGCTGCCTCATGGTCAACTTATCATCCACCATGACACCCAGGTCTTTCTCTGCAGAGCTGCTCTCCAGAAGGTCAGTCCCCAGCCTGTACTGGTGTCTGGGGTTATTCCTCCCCAGGTGCAGGACCTTGCACTTGGCCTTGTTGAATTGCATGAGGTTTTTCACCGCCCACTTGTCCAGTCTGCCCAGGTCCCTCTGGATGGCAGCGCAGCCCTCTAGGATATCAGCTACTCCTCCCAGTTATGCATCATCAGCAAACTTACTGATATTACTGATAATATCCTTTTAGTACTATTTTAGTTTTTATTTTTATTTAAATTTAGTTGATTTTTTTTTAAAAAAGCATTTGGTTGCCTATGCTAAGCATTTTGAACATTTTAAAACAAAAAAAGAAAGTATTATCCCTTGTGAAAAAGATCCCAAGATTTTTATTGAGGAGTGGATAGTCTAAAAGGTAGTTAACATTTCTTTATAGAAAATAGAAATAAACATTAACATTTTTAGAACCTTTGTTATGTCAGAAACCAAAACATTCAATACTACATGAATAACGAAAAATTAAGAGAGATTTTTGGCTTCTGATGAAGAATAGAAGTTGATGTTTCTGCAAATGAACAACAAATAGGCTATAAGCCTTTTGTCTAAATGAATCCTAGCCAGGCAAGCCAAATGTTGTCCTGGAGCCACTGCTTCTCACCAGCAAAGTGAGCTGTTAATGTCTTCCTAGCAATGGACTTTGCTGCAAATTAATTAATCACCAGCCATCCTTCACATACAGCTATTTTAACTCCAGCCATAGCAAGGGCCAACTCCCATTCACCATATGTTTTAGAAAGTTTTATACTCTTTTGATAGAGAAACGTTTCTACTTTTCATTTGCATTAACAGGAGTAGGAGTAAAGCTAGTCAGGAGTATTTGTTTTCTGGAAGCTGGAGGACATCCAGCATTAAAGGAGTGGGAGGCCCTGGAATTGCCTTTCATCAGGGTGATGGGAGCATAAATCTTACCTGATTTTAGGTAGCGTTTATCAGTTTATGAAAGGATTTTTCCTGGAGTGGGATCTGATCTTAAGAGCCTCAAGAATTCCACTTCCACCTTGTATTGCTGTGATTCCCCGGATATCCGCAGAAGAACTCATGTGAATAAATCAAGCAGAACTTGTAGTCTTTATTGCTTTAAGGAAAGCAGAGGTATTACTAAGAATTTTCTAATGTTTGATTGACTGACTTCATGTCTAATATGAAAGTGCAAAAAGTACGTAGTTTATGGTATTGTTAAATTTAAAAAAAATTTAAAAATCCATTTTTCTCAAAGGGAATAGCATCTTGCAGACTAAATGCTTCAGACTCTAACACTCTTCTGTATCCCCAAACTTTTTGATTTGCTAGGAGCACACCCACACTCTGGTTTTCCTTCAGACTCATCCCTGAGAGCTTTTGTTGTTCTATGCTCTTTTCCCCATCTTTCCCTCCTCCCTTCCTCTGCAATCCCAGCTGTCCTTCCTTAGCTTTGCA